TACAGTTCGGGATCTGAGATGATCCGCAACTGGGCGAAGCAGCTGGGGGAGCAGTCCAACCAGGGAAACGAGCTTCGCCGACCTCAGCAGCTGCCTGACCAAAGATGGGAAAAACAACCTTGCGACGTGACCAGCAGGAAGATGCCCCCCCCCCCCCCCCCCCAGGGCACTACAACGTGATCGACAAGAACGTGACGATCCGAGAGTTCGGGCCGCACCGAGGAACGAGCTGCTGGACGACCTACCGAAGTGCTGCAAGAAGCCCCGCGACGTCAACACGGTAGACTACTACTTGGACATCAAGGCCACCTCAGACCAGATGCAATTCGCGCCGCCTCTACGAGGAGTACTTCTCACCGGGGAAGCCGCCGCCAAGGAGCTAAAGTATGACACTCTGAACAACAAGGAAAAGCACCTCATGGACGGGGCGATGAAGGTCGAGTGGTCCACGTGAAGCTACCGCCCAGAGAGCTGAAGGAGCTCTTGAGGCGCAATCCTGGCACGCGCCCCGTGGGCACACGCTGGGTGCTCACCGGCAAAAGGCCTAACCTCATGAAGGCCCGCCTCGTCGTTCAAGGATGCCAGGAGGACAAATCGCAGATTCGCACGGATGCACCGACAGGATCTAGAGATGCACTTTGCCGTGCCCTCGCCGCTGCCTCACAATCTGGTCGGGGCGTCACGTCGCATGGCGCCATGACGGCCTACATCCAGTCCGGCAATATCGAGAGGCTTCTGCTGCTTCGCACGCCAGCGAAGAACCCGCCGCCAGGGGCACTGCCCAGCGAGATCGCGATGGCGACTGGCGCCATCTATGGCACTCGTGATGCCGGAAGACAGCGGTACCTCCACGCTCAGAAAGTCCGCAGGGTGCACGGCCTTCTCGAGAGCAGGCTCGAGAAGGGGCTCTCCTACTTCTACGATTCGAGGGGCCTCGCAGCGGTCATTCGCTCGTACGTCGACGATTTCTTGATCGCCCAGCGGAGCGACGCCTCGGAGCGGCGGCGCGCCATGGGCAGCTTGGAGAAGAAGTTGCACCTCAAGAAGGTCGACGGCGCGATCAAGTGCTGCGGCCGCATCATCTCCAAGACGGACGATGAGTTCCGCGCCGCGCAGGTGACCGCCGCCAAGCAGGTGGACCCTGTCCAGATCACCGCCGCGAAGGGCCGCGCCCCGTGGGACAGACTGGCAATGGAGGAGGCGTCTGGTTACCGACACACTCTAGGCCCGCTGCTTTGGCTCGCCGCACAGGCGCGAATCGACATCGCCCGCCCGGTCAGCACGGCCGCCAGGCGCACCGACGTTGCCACCGTGGCCGACGCCAAGACACGCAACAAGACGGTGACTTACGTTCGCGGGTCCGCCGACTTCGCCATCGTGCTGAAGCGCAACCTCATCGACCTGAAGACCTGCACTACGGTTTGCCAATATCGATGGCATCGCGAGCCAGTGGGGCATGGTCCTGGGCCTCACCCATAGACCACGTGATGTCGTCGGGGGCCGTTATGATCTGTGCCTGCCTGTCGCTTGGCACTCCGGTACCGTCAAGGGGTCCGCGAAGTCCATGCTGGCCGCCGAGGGGTACGCCACCCTCGATGGGGACCGAGATCAACACCTGGTTCCGCCAGCTTCTTACTGAGGCCTACAACCCCAAGAAGCCGCTCAAGGAGATCGACGACCTCAGTCTGAAGCGCCCTGGGGAGGTGTTCAGCGACAGCCAGAGCCTCGTCACGCACATCCAATCCGACGTCGGCCAGTCTACCGACAAGCGGTTCCGCATCGTCGCCTCCATGATCGATCAAGGAGTCCGTCCACCCCAACAGCGAGCTGCGCTTGACTTGGGCGCCTACCTGGAGTATGGTCACAGACGCACTCACGAAGGTGATGGAGACTGGCCTGCGGATTTCGTTCTTCGGCGCCAAGAGGCACAACTTCGGCGCCAGGCAGCCCAACGCCGCCATGATCCCCTCGGTGATCGCCGCGTGCATCGGCAAGGTAAGGGGTCAGCCGACCCCAGGGCCGCCACCGCCGTTCGACCTGGACCACTACTGGTACATGTTCTACATGGCATGTTTTCCTATGCTCCTGGGCATGACGGTCGGGCTCAGCCTTTTCGCAGTCATGTGGTCCATGGTGTCCCAGAACGCCACCAGGCCGCCGCCGCAGCAAGAGGACAAGGCCACCACTGATCGGCACCCTGGGAGTGATGATCGCCGCCTGGGCAGACGCCGCAACCTGCCGCCCGTGATCCCCGAGGAGGAGGAGGCCGACGGGGACATCCAGACGCCCTGGCGTCTGCGACTGCGGCCGCGGCGGCGCAGAACAGTTCCTCGGCTGGCAGCCGAGTCCATCGGTAGCACCAATGCCATCGCCCCTTGCGCCGCAGGACAGTTTCGCCGCATCATCAGCACCGAGTACGCCGTGCACTATCAGCAATTCCTCATCGGCCAGCATCGTGTCCTGGAACAACTCAACGCCGACAATGTCGCTGGCGGGGATCAACGAATGTGCCATGGCAGGGCACAAATCTCCGTGTGGGACATAACGCACACAGCGTCTACGCCACCTGCAGGACCTGCAAGCGCCACGCATCGTGGCTTCGCCGCAACCGCAGGGTACATAGCCCCGATTTCTCGAGGTTGCATCCCACGCTGAGGCAGGAGCTGCAGGGAAGGTGGGCGCAAATGATGGGAAGCGCTGTTCCTGGCAAGGGGTCAGCACTGGCATCGAGGGGGACTCAGAAGTCCACATAAGTGGCCCCCCCGCCTGCAGTGCCGTTACTTGTCTTCGCCGACGCCCGGACGCTGCAGTTGGCAGCCGTACACGTACTCCGCATTTACTGTAATTGTCTTCGCTGCCCGGACGCTGCATTTGCCAGCCGCATACGCACTCTGCATTTAGGGTAATTGTCTTTGCCACCCGGACGCTGTTTCTAGCAGCCCCATACGTACTCCGCATTTTTGTGTAAGTGTCTTCGCCACCTGGACGTTGCTTCCAGCAGCCGCGCACGTACTCCGCATTAAACTTGTCGTTTTGTTACTATAAGGACGCTGCTTCTAGCAGCTGTTTATGTTTCGTCTGCGTCCGGCCTGATCAGCCTCTGTATTTGATTTTCTCTGGTGATGACGATCACCCGCCATTGCTTTCGCTACAAGTCCCCTCCTTATTACTAAGTAATAAGGCCCGAGCCGAGTGCCTGTTAAATCGAGAATTTACTTTGCAGGTGCGTGTAGCGCACCCGTTAAATCGCCCCGGAGGGCAGCCTGCTAGCACGCCGAGCAAGCCGTTCGCTTGCAACATAGTATCCCTATAATCATCTCTCCGTTGCAATGTAGTTTTATGGGGGGCGAGTGACTTGCAATAGTCTCCGCTCAGACGCCCGAGACGGCGACTAGGAGGAGTGTGAATCAAGCTCACTCCCCAGGAATGTAGGAGGCCCGAGAGGGATTCCCCAGAAGCCTCGAGGGCCCTGCTGTTTCATTCCTCGCTCTTTCTTTCTCTGTTTGTATGTATCACGACCGCCGCTGTTTATTCTCGAAGAGCCCTTGGCCAGAGCTATGTCATTTGTTTTGAGCCGCGCTCGGCAAAAGAGATCCTCGGCGCTGCGCGCTGATCCATATCACACCTGTCACTGAGCCACCTCCACGGCAAGGACCAAAATGCCGAGAACCACCCGGACCTGACGGCAAACGCGCAACTGCTCAACGCTCGGGAGCGGCAAAGCATGCTGGCCGTTCATTACTTTCATCTTTTTAAACGCCACCCTGCTCGGCCCACCAGGGATTCAACGCGGGCGGCCGCGGGTAGGCCGCGGGTGGGCCGCGGGTGGGTCGCGGGGTGGATCGCGGGGTGGGTCGCGAGGTGGGTCGCGGGGTGGGTCGCGAGGTGGGTCGCGGGGGAGGACGACAACACCAACGCAACAATGATCACGGTCCGCACCGCGGAACCCCAGCTCAGCCACGCGCCCGGTGACACTGAATGACCGTTCGGCCCCCTGACTCTGAGCATACGGGAGAGCATGCGGGAAACCGTCCAACAGACAATACGGGAGACCACACGGGAGACCGTGCGGGAGACCATGCGGGAGACCATACGGGAAACCACTGGCCACGAGCCACCAATTCCAGATCTGGAGGAGCACAGCCATGAAAAATTGTATAGGACCCTTGCAAAAAACCGTCCTCGGGAAACGAATGTTAACAAATGCGTCGCCCAGCCCCCGCCAGCGCTCAACCGACCCCTTCCTACTGCTGCTCCTCTCCAAACTCATCCTACTCCACATCACCACTTGGATCCAGGCGAACCGTGCCTATCCTGGTTGCACAGCCTGGGTGAACCGACCCCGCTTCGTGATAAGAAATGCAAGATACGCGATCCTATCTCCGCGCCCCTGATGTTACGGATCGTGGAGGGAGGGTGATGGGAGACTGAAGGGGGAGGGAGGGGGAGGGGGGACCTAAAGGCGCAAGTATCCTCGTGCACTCGACTCAGACCAGGCAAACATGGAGGTCGACACCATGCACTGCCATGCAACGCTGCGAGGAGGGCGGCGCTGGCGGTACCCAGCGGCTGGCAGCATTGCGAGTTGCTGGCCTTACGTGCATACGCCTCCTCAGAGCAACCGACCCTGATGCAATCATACCCTCACGAGCTCACACGTCTTCGAGCCTCGCTCAAATGCCCGCGTGCCCCCCCTCCCACCGCCCTGTCTGAGCAGCGATCGAGTACAGACGCGAATAACAGAAAGACAGCGAGCTGAGCCGGGGGACGGCCGCACTTGGAGGACCTCAGAGAGCCACAAGCACGGGAGCCGCGTGCTCAGCCTGGGGCGCCAAACAATCAACAAGCGTTTCTCTGAATTTACCGCGCGTGCGTGTGCTCTGGCTGGCAGGTTGTCATCACAGCTTGACTGACATTGTACAGGCATGTAATTCATAATCGCAGCTTGACGGCCGTCACCACGCAGCGATCGTATCGCTTGGCCAGCCTAAGCCAGGCGCCTAAACTCCAGAGGTCGCACTGGCTGGTGTAGGACTGCCTCAACACCTGTCAGAATGCACACGGGTGCTCGCACATTGACACCACGCTCAGCGTATGGACCACCCAATCTGGACCTTCGTTGTCCATCCCCTGCGAGCGAGCCAAATGAAAATCCAAAAGCTGGAGGAAACGTACACATGACGTACTTTACGCTGCTCCTGCTCTTCCTCGTGATACCTCGCGGTCCTCCTCCTCCTCCTCCTCCTCCTCCTCCTCCTCCTCCTCTTCCTCCTCATCCTCCTGCGACTCCTTCATCTCGTGGCCTGGTCTCCGAAAGCCCTGAGACCCGGCAGGACTTCTGGATGTATCGGGCGCCACGGGCGTTCCAGAGAGCTCCAGAATCCCCTGAGAATGCTTCAAAACGCTATGTAGCGCATTACGCATACCGTAGGCATTCATGACCTCCTGCTCACCTGGTCCAGGATGCACATCTCCCTCTTCTCGAGCCAAGGCCAAACGGCTGGTCGGACACAGAATCTTGCACACCCTGGATGACGATCACGCAACTGTCGTTCCACAATCCGGCGCTGCGTCTGCCCTCGCAACTGCTGCTGCAACTGCTCCTCCTGCTCATGCTCCCGCTTCCGTCGCTGCTCCTGCGCCTGCGCTTCCCCATCCTTCTCCTCTTCCGTCTCCGCGCCTTCCCCCCTCCGCCATCCTTCCTCCTCCCATTCACTCCGCCTGGTGCTGCCACCTGTCCCCCCGCTTCCTCCCCATCCCCGTCTCCGTCCCCATTCGCATCCACCGCATCATCATCCTCACCACCACCATCCTACTGATGCTGCCCCTCCGCTCGATCCCCTTTCCTACGTGGAGGCCTCGGGGGCCACGTACGACAGGGTACCACAGCTAAGGTCCATCTTTGTGTTGCGCTGCCACACCTGACAGGAGACAGGGCCAAGGCTGGCAGCGGCATCAGGGGGAGGAAGAAGGAAGATAGGGAAGAGAGAATGGACGGAAGATGAGGAGGGAGGAAGGGCCCCGCACCGCCGAGAAGGAATGACTGCGTTGGCCACGCAAGGGTCTAACACGTCTGGTTCCCGTGCTGTCGACGCGTAAGGTCTCAGGTGTCCGATAGCGACGATCCTTCAAATTTTGCTTGCTGCAGGCCGCACGTGATCTTTGTTGCAACCTTAAGAGCCCGCGCCAGCGTGGCCGCCGCGCCGATTCGGCGCGCACATACTCTGGACGATTTGTCGCGTGGGGTCGCGTGGATGGGGGGGGTCGCGGGGCGGGGTGGATCGTGCGGGGTGGGAGGGATGGAGCTGCCCTTCGCGAGGCGTAGAGGGGTGGATCACGAGGAGGGTAAGCTCAGCGCGCAGGGGGGAAGGGGCAAAGGGGGGGGCAGAGCAGGCCACAGGGCGGGGTGGCATGGGCGTGGCCTCCAGCCGCTCGCTGAGCCGACGGCGAAGCGTCTGAGCGCGGCGGCCTCCTGCAGCCCAGGCTTGAGGGCCAAAGCTGGCGTGCGGCGCCCTTAGGAGATCGCTGAGTGCGCCCGCGCAGAGCAGCCACTTGTCGCCGTGCGCGACGCGCGCATACCTGCAGGCTGATCGGCGGCCGCGGCGGCTCGATCTCACCCGCAGGCAGCCCCCACGCGAGCGAGCTTATTCCCCAGAGGCACGACAGATGGCCGACCACTCCGAAGGTTGTGGAGGAGGCGATGCTGCCTGATGGTTCCCAAAAGGATCCCACAACCGTCGCATCGAGGGCGGTGGCGTGGTTCCGCGCAGGCCACATCTCTTCCTCGGGCCGGAGCTGCACGAGTAGTGAGAGCGCCGAAACACCTCTGAGCCTCCTGCTCCAATCCGCATCGCTCTACGCGGCTTGCCGTCTCATGGCAACGCTCCATAACGACTCCCTTTCCCCGCCATCCCTCAGTCCTCCATCCCTTTGTCCTCCTCAACCCCTCCCCCCCTACCCTCCTCCGAAGGATGGGAGAGGCTATGAGGAGGGAAGGGATGCATTTGACCTACGTGTGAACAAATCAATGAGCGCCAGTCTCGCTACACCAAAATGATCCCGGCGAGGCCCCAACTAGGGAAAGCATCGTGTTTCATGGGCGCATTGCGTGGCATTGCTTGGCATTGCTTGGCATTACTTGGCAGTGCGTGGCATCGCTTGGCGTTTGCTTGCATTACTTGGCATTGCTTGTCAGTTCGTGGTATTGCGTGGCAGTGCTTGGCATTGCGTGGCGAGGCAGCACGAAATCAAGACCCAAGGACCAGAGAACCAAGACCAAGCAACCACGACCAAAAACAACTAAGAACCAAGACCAAAGAACCAAAAATCAAGGAACCCTGGCAAAGCCTTGCAAAGAAACAAGACCGAGGACCCCTGGGAAATGCCCTTGTAACGAAACAAACCGAGAATCCGAACGCCCCTGGTGCCCTCACCCACCGGCTCTTCAAACATGAATACAGGAAAAACCTAATCGGCGAATGTTCGACACTGTTCGGCGCGATCGATCTGGTGGTGAGACAGACGAGAGGGGAAGCGGGAGGCAAGGCCAGAAGCAAGGGGGAACGGGGGGCGGGGCGCCTCCCATCGCAGTGCCACGCTTCCCACTTGCGACCACGCTCTCAGTCCGAGGCGGTCTGTGCTGTGCAGAGGGCAGAGGGTGCCAACATCAAGCCAGCGCCTCTGTAGCTGGGCCTGGTCGGTGGCCTGCCAGAGGCATGGGTGGCTCTCACCGTGCTCTTCCCAGCCTGAGGCATCGCCAGGCCCATACTTTTCTCCAGGAGCCATGGTGATTCGTGGCGATGCGCGGCTGCCCAAAACCATATTTGCTTTAACCTGGAGGCGACGTTATTGCAGCACCAGCGAAAGCATTGAAAAATGGTTCCAGTGTTTTGTCAAACGTTTCTGCAATGCGTCTGGAATTCGTCAATACGGCGCTATGTAACCACAACTGCCGACGAAAACCAGGTCCCTTTAACAGAATTCGACACGCATATAATCTCTGTAATACCGTTGAACAAATCCATGTGCTCAGTGTCGCGTATTGACTTGAAACTGCTTCTCTGTGCTTGATGGCATCCGAGAGGGAGCAGGGGGATCATGAGGAGACGAGAGATCAGGGAGGACTCTGTGGACCGTGGAACTCCACCAGGGCGGACGTCCCAAAACCAAAGGGCGCCAGGGGGGCCACGACGAAGATCGCTGCGTCCCGCATGCAATTTTCTCGAGGCACAAACTGCCACCCTGGGCGCCGCCAGGACACTCCCGCCTCGACCTTCTGCGGCAGCGGCCCGCAGCAGCACCAAAGAAGCCTGAGGGGCAGCAACGCGGAACACGACTTCAGCCTGGCCACTCGGGGGGGGGGAGAAGCCCTCGGAGAAATAGGGGAGGAGAGAAGAGGAAGGGAGGGAGGGGAAGGAACGAGGCCCTACTGAGAGCCCGTGCTCGGGCTATCGCCAAGCGGCAGACGACCAGCGGCGAGCTGCCCGTCAGAGCATGACCCCCCCCCCCTTGTGGGGTCTAGAGTCTGACATCCTCCTCCTTCTCCTCCTTCTCCTTCCCCTTCCGCCACATCGCGTCGGCAGAGAGGCATGGAGCACCTCCCGTCGGTGCAGACGTGCTGCCGCTCGAGGGAGGGAACGAGGATGGCGACGACAACGAGCTCCCTCCTACGAGACCCTGGGCGGCGGCTCACCGGCCTTGCTGAAGCCGAAGTCGATGAGCTTGAGGTGGTCTCCATCCTTCAGGGGGGGCAGCGGCGCCCCACGGGAGGGCAGGAGATGCCTCTCTCCCTGAATCTCTGTCCCTCTCTCTCTCTTTTCCTCTCTCTCTCTCTCTCTCTCTTTTGACTGCCAAGGCGATCCCTAGATACGTACCACCACGACGGGGCCTATCATGGAGAGCCCTTTCGCGGAGGGTCGGGCCCCGAAGCTATCAAGCACCTGCTGTCGGTTGCACTGTCTGTGCGGATGCTTTCGGAACATTCGGTTTCTTAGTGACGCTCGTCATGACTCATGACGTTGTCCCACATGTTGGATGCAGGCTGAAATGCCCTCCTCAACACGTTCGGAATCCCTCAAGCTCGTGGTGTCCGTCACAGCTACCCACCTCTCTCTCTGAACACCTAATGGCTCAACCCATAACCCATAACAGGTTCCAAGATCCAAGTCTGCTTTGTGAATGCCGTGGTCTGTCATCGTGTGCCCTTAAGTGGGGGGCTGTCCTTGGTCTGTCATAGTCCTCGGCTCCCACCCTCGGCTCCCACCAGAAATCTAGAAATACCTCCTCCTCCATTCTCGCAGTCACATCAACGCGTGGTAGGTCCTCTCCTGCCGGCAGAGCTCCTGTTGCGGTTCCCTGCTGTTGAGGCCGATCCGACTTGCTTGGATTATGATCTGCTCCCGTTTGCCTTTCTCCAGCAAATACGTGGTACGCACTGTGACCCGCTGTCGAGGTGCTCTTGTGTGTGACCTCGTGGGGACTGCATGGGCTCTTTCGGGGGTCTTTGGGGTCGTCTCCTGATCCGCTGCCTCCATCACGGTGGCCTTCGAAATTGGTGATGCTTCCCCAGACTCCTCCTCGCCGTCCATGCCGCCTCCGACGCCCTCGTGAAACTGGAATCGAATCGGCCCCGGCCAGAATCGACACCAAATCGGATCGGCCAGATCTGCGGATGGACAGATTCGGGAACCGCTCCGCTGGCGCTCCCCATGCCAACGGGGTGAGTTTGGTGCCGCGTCGCGACACGTCCCAGTGACAGGGCGCGAAAGGCAACACGTTGGCGCGTGGACAGGAGGTAAGCAAAGGCAGGGTCGCCGCTGTCCTTTTTCTCATACAAGAAATTCTCGAGCTTCAAATCGCGATGAACCTGTCGGCACAGCCTCCCCATAAGCCTCCTGCCACCCCTCCGACCGCCATACCCATCAACATCCCTCCTTCATCCCTCCTTCCTCCTTCATCGCCCCCCTTTCCCATTTACGTCTATATCTCCTGATTCGTCATTCCACATCAATGTTGTCCATACCGCACACCTCCATCCTTACCGTTATCATCGCAATGATTTCCTCCTGCTCCTGTTCCCCCTGATCCTAGTCCTGGCCCCGGTCCTGCGATTTACATGTGGGGGTAAGAAGGTGTACCAGTATGTGGCAAGTGATTGAAGCCATGTGCACGGCTTCTCGCCTGCTACAAGGACGTACACGCCATTCATGAAAAATCTGCAACTTGACAACACCTTCTGCAATGCGGAAACTTCCACGTAACGCGCGGACGAAAATCCACGTAACAATGTCCAACAAACGAAAGTCGAATATGGCCATCAGTCGAGTCAAGCGCAAAGCACGCTCCTAAACTGTCCACCTTTAACCAAACCAACTGCCCCCACACCCATTCTACCATGTACCAGATGGCCCACTGACGTGAACGCCATATCAAACAAATCTTAACACTCTGATGGAAGATTACGTGCATGGAGTATCAAGGCACCTGTTCCTGCGTCAGCCACAACTTTGCGATCCACCTGCACCCAGAGACTTCGAGATGGTCCATCCTCCTCTTCCTCCCCTTTTTCGTCCTCTCTCCGACTCCCCACTACCTCTCCTCCACCTCCTCCTCCTCCACTCCTCCTCCTCCTTCTCCTGCGCGCTCCTCCTTCTTCTGCTCGTGTTCATGCTGCAAAGTCGGGCAATGTCAGAATCGTCAGGAGGCACTATGCTTTGGGAGTGTATGTAGTTGATCGACAACAACATCTGGTACAGAGCGTTCGCCGCCTCGGACTCCGTAAACCTGCTGTTGATCGGGTTCATTGCGCGTGCTCCCCTTCTCCCTCCTCTCCTCAGTCCCTCTCTCCTGCCTCGCCTCTACAAGCCAAACACCTGAATACTACTCTCTTGCCTCCCCTAATTCCGTTCGGAAGATAGCGGGGCCTCTCCGCGTGCTGGTTCTTTACGCATAGGGTTCAATTCGTTGAATGGCTGCAACTTGGGCCTCATTTTCGGATCGGCGCTTTGCTCCCGTCATTCAAAATGGCGCTCTCGCCCCAGTGCGGGCGACTTCTTTTGATCCGAGTCTTTCTTCATCGTTGTCGCCGCCCTCATGTCCCCTCATCCGCCTTCCCCTGGTCCTCTTGTTCCTCCCGCTCCTTTCACTCCAGTTCCTGCTGCTGCTGCTGTTCGTCCTCGTCCTTTTCCTCCCACTCATCCTCCTGTTCACAGCCACCTCCTCCTCCTGCGCAAGCAGCTCCGTCTTCCGATTAGGCATAACACGATGTGGTCTTCCTGTTGGAGTTGCAGGTCGGCTACGGCAAGCGTGCGGGGATAGATAAACATCAGCGCAATGGGACGGGATGGGAGGGAGGGACGGGATGTCATATCATGAACCAGAATGGCACATGGTTGACCCCGTCACGTCACGAGACTATGCCTCTGTAACAAGCAGCCTCCGTCGCACCGACACATATGCTCATGTCCTGGGATGCGCGAGTTGATGACACACAGTGTGCTGAGTAGTTAGGCGGTGAGCACCAGTCCTCTTGACAGAGAACCAGTTGGTCGAATCATCAAGTCGAATGTCGGATTGGCGCACGGACCACGATCACATTCGGTGAGGCAACCGGCTCTCTCGTTCATGGTCTCGGCGGTGGCGATTTCGCAATACGCCATTCAATGAAAGACTGCGCCATTTGGCGTTGTGCAACGTGGAACATAGGAGCAAACACATCTACGATTTGTCAATCTGAAGATCCGTGAAGTTGTCCAACACTTGGATAAACATCATGGCGACTGTGACTCAAGGGTCCAGTATGTTCGTTGAAGGCAACTCCGGACCTGCAAACATGCAGTACGCTGACAGTGAATATGTACTGTGGATATGTGGCCAATCGTGCCCGCACTGCCGAGGCATACGAAGAAGATGATGGTCGGGCGCGTCATCCTCCACTAAGTATTGTAAAGAACTATAGAAAACTCTATGGGGATGTCCTGTCATTGCTCTTGAAGCCTTGTGAACCGGATCGTCAGTCAAAAAAGATACGGTACAACAATCGCTCTCGCGGGCAAGGGGGGGCGGGAGGGGCAGGGGGGGGCAATGTCAATTTTCCCTGAGGCGGTCAACACCACACATTGTCTGTTTCCCGCCTCCCCTCTCCGAGTCTTAGCGCAAGGTTGGCCGCTGTTTGTCCGCCGCCGTCTCGTTTGAATGCCGTCTGGGGGCCGAAGTCGAAGTCAATTTTGTCCCCTCATGTAATGAACGTCAGGCCGTGTGCTGCTGTCTTTCCTTTGCGTGGGTCAAGGATACGAATCACGCGCCACAGAAAAACTGCCCGTGCCACCAGCCTTTCTGTGCCAGACTTGTACTGAGATTGACCCGTGCCACTGCACGGTACAGTTCACAATGACGCCCAAACATCGCTCTTGAGTCACACGAATTTTCTGGGAGTTGCGTGCCGGCCCCTGCTGACAGGCTCCCAGATTCATCAGCGTGGCAATCCCAAAAAACCCTCCCCACCCCCTGCCCCCCCTCCCCCCCTCCCTTTTCCTCCCTCGCCTTCCCCCCTTTCTCGCCTCAACTTCTCTTTCTTTCTTTCGGACGTCCGCTGGCACCACAGCGCGCGTGCTTGGTCGAAGGGCTACGTACAATAAGGGACAAAAATAAACCAAACTAATTGGTGCACCTCCGACCCCATTGGCGGGGAACTTCTTTGCACCTTTGTCCGCTTACCGCTCGCAAAATTCACTTGGCAATCCTTCTTTACCAACCGGTTGGCCATCGCTCTTCGCAGCTCTGGTGACAAAAGATGCGTAAAGACATTGACTCTCGCCAAGAACAGCGCAACCTTGTGAGAAGGGACCATTACGTTGTCAGCCAAGATGTGTCGCTGCAGCTCCTCAGAATGATGCTGGGCTTCGCTCTGTCCAAATTTCATCCGAATCTTTTGAATCCGTCGATGATGTCTCTTTGTCTGCAGCCTCTGAGCATGTCGGGCAGAACCACTTCCTGGATGTATCACGCCTGGTCTCCACAAGGCACCGTTTATGGAAAAGCTCAGTATGAGAGCATCTTGAAGATTCGCATTCTTGAAGAGACAATTGGGCATGTCTCTGGCCGCAACCGCAAGAACGATGAGCACTAGGAGATATGAATTCCCAATCGCCGCATTTGAGTTCGCCACCACATGCCTCGAATTTCTCCAAGCGGGATGTTGGAGGGTGCGCAGCGTCGTCGTCGAACAAGCTTGTGGTAGCAGTGAAAGAGGCCCGTCACCCAATGCACATCTGAACATGCAAATGTGTGTATGCACAAACGCGCTCTTCCACTGCTTTACAACATTCCCAACAAATAACGCCCATGCAAATATACTCACCGTACTGCTGCACACATCTCGGACATTTATCTTCCAATCGCTTTCGTTGCAACTCAATGCCGCAGATGTCGTTGTCATAGCTAATCGTTTCAATCGATTCCAACGGCGTCATTTGACTCGGCAATGTGTCAGATCTCCGTGTCTCTTCTAGACTCGCACGCCTTGGAACCTCGCAGAACGGACCAATCCAACTCGCTGACAACAGTTTCGGGATTCGAGAGCCGATGCCCGTACGTCGCGCATGAGGTGGAGACTCCAGAAAGGCAGCGTGACAAGCGTCGGGCGTCTGGACCAATGTGTCCCAAACCACGTTTGCAAATCTATCACTCCCAAGTAAAATCCCAGATGGGTTCCAGATCGAATGCAGGAGGGAAGAATGGCGGAGCTCTCGGACGCAGTGGTTCAGAATTCGCTCGCACTGCGGCTAAGGGCTCGTGGAGCCTCAGCTGGAAGGACGAATCTGATCTCACCTGCAAAGTATCGTCTCGAAAAGATTCTCTCACGCGTAATGGGTGGGGCCAAATCTGACCTCGACTGCCCCGTAGAGCGATCCTTGCCGTGAAACCGTGCTACCGCTTCTCTCCTCAGACGTCGGCGAGCTGCTGTGGTAAGCTGAGGTGAGCATGGTCGAGGTCGTTTCAGGGGTTCGCAAGGAGCTGCTGCTGCTGCTCCTCCTCCTCCTCCTCCTCCTCCTCCAATCGCGCACGCTGTGCATTATGAGACAGCCGACGTGCAGTCGCTCCCGCAAAGCGGCGAGATCAGGCTGGCATTGTCTCTTGCCCACGCGCTCCGGCGTATGGCAATTCGTTCGTTCGTTCGTTCAAAGAGCAGCCATCTAAGAGAGGTGCATGCCGTGCCTTGAGCTAGAAAGCCTTGAGCCAGAATGCCTTCTCGCCTCAACTACCCCCCATCTGGTGCTATGCCCCGAAGCGGCACAAGACGGTGGGCCTTTTCAGTCGCACGACGCGCTCGTACACCTCGCCGCCCTCCATGCACTCCATAACCTGGCACCGCGGGGCGATAATGAGGAAAAACTCGACTCCGATCGGACCGGCCCCGCCGAAAGCTAGCTTGACGTGCTCGGAGACCCAGGAACCAAGGGCAACACTGAGTCTCGCCCATCGTAAAAGTCGCTGTATCGCGCGCGTGCCTCACCCCTGTCACATGGGGCGCTGTGGGTGACGTGTCAAGAAAATCCGCCAACCCTTCGGCGTGTGGAGAAGACGCTGTCGTCGTCGCCATCGTCCAGTCCTAAGGACATTGCGGAACAAGGAAAAGGAACGTCGTGACTTAGTGAAGTCGAGGGGAAGCCCCTTCCCTTTATTCCTTCACTGCTAGGGGTCGGGGGAGGGAAGGGCGATCCTGGATCAAAATGCCGCCACCGCGGGGTACCGGCGGGTCCTGGGGGGGGGTCACCAGCGGCCGTAAAGCCTCGGCAATACCTACGTTCACCTGTGCCGTGGGGAGGATGAGC